CTGGGGGTTGGGGGTGTGGATAAGGGTTGGGGCAGTCAGGGGACAGGTAGGGGGTAGAGTCCTAGGGAGCCAGTTAGGATGGGGGGAGGGTCTCAGGAGGGGGCAGTCAGGGGACAAGGAGCAGGGAGGCTTAGGGAGGGGGTGGAGTCCTGGGGGGCAGTTAGGGGCAGGGGTCCCAGGAGGGGGCAGTCAGGGCACAAGGAGTGGGGGGGAGGGTTGGGGATTCTAAGGGGGCAGGAAGTGGGAGGGAGTGGAAGGAGCAGGGGCGGGGCTAGGGCAGGACGGGGGCGGGGCTAGGGCGGGGCTCCTCCCGTCCTCTTTTTTGATTGTTGAAATATGGTAACCCTACTGAACATCTATATAAAATCCATACGAGCCCCAGCTCTTCAGATCTTCAATCAAACCTGCAGCTGCAAGTGCCTGGTTCTCTGCGGGTAAGTCCTTCTCCATTGGTGTTATCAAAGTCTTTAGATGAGATAACTGGGCGTGAGGAAGCAGCGGTGGCTAGTGACTAGTGCAGGAATGAAAGATCTTGGGTTTCTCTCTGCTTTGACTTTAACTCCCTGGGTGAGTTTGGGCAAGTCACGGAATCCCTCTGTGCCTCAGTTTCCCTATCTGTAAAACAGGGATCATGATACGGACCTTCATTTGTAAAGCCTATTTGAGAGATTAAAGCTGATTTAAAATGTCAGAAATTTTAATGTTATGCCTGTGGGCGACAGGGACATTGGAAGGGTGAATGCCCCTATCGGGATGGGGAACAGAAGCCTCACCCCTAAATATCATCCCCATATCCCTCCATCGCCTCCCCTTGGAAAGCCCCATATCCCCTCAGTACCCCCCTAAGAGACCCCAAAAGGGGGCTATGCGGGGTCTCTGAGGGAGGATTGGGTGGGGATATTTAAACCAAAAATATCATTTAAATTTTCTCTCTCCCTTAGTAAAAAACAATTCCTCTTTTGTCCACTGTGAGGAGCCCTGAGCAGGCGAGGGAAACAGTTTCCCAGAGTTATAACCCAGACGGGGGCAGGGACCCACTTTTCACACCATCTGCCACCAGGAAAAAGGCATAAAAAAGTGCAGTTTCCACACTCCATTTCCCACACTTGGTAACTTGTTCCCGACTGGCAAAAACTGGAAAAGAGGCAGAAAGTGGCGGGGAAAACCTACGTTCTGAACCTTCCCCCCCAAAAAAGTGGATTCATGCAAACCAAGCTTCCCCCTCCACTGCCCTTGCCTGGTTGGTCTCTAGGCGTCCACCACAATATAAGTTAAATAATTAAGAGCTCATCTCATGGGAACGCAGCGCTGCAACCAGTGCAGGACCACCCTCTGGCTCTGCCATCGCCCTTCCCAGCCACAAAGCTCATAGCACATTACAGTGGAGGTCAGTGTCATCATCCCCACTCTACAGAGAGGGAAACTGAGGCATGGTGACATGCAGCAACTTACCCCAAGTCACCCAGGAGGTGGGTGGAGGATCCAGGAAGAGACCCCAGGTCCAATGCTTGACCCACCCATCCACACTGGGCAGTGAGGGGGAATGCTCCCAGGGCTATTATCCAGGACACCCAGTGCTGGACACGGCTTGTCCCTGGGGGCGCAGGGATGTGCTGCCATGAAAAGGGTCCCATGTGCATCTCTCTCCCCCCCCCCCCCCCCGCTCCAACAACAGCCAGGTCGCCAAGGGCAGCTGGGCTGATGGCACGTCCACCCCGAGAGAGAGCACAGGGACATTCAGAAAAAGGCAGTAAGAGGACGGGCAAGGAAACGGCACTGAGGGACCCAGGCTTGGAACCGGCAGGAATTTCCCAACTCACTTTCTTCCCACAAATGAGCAAACGGACCCACTGCAGGCTGGGAGTGACTCCGGCTTGACCACCCAGGGGAGCTGAGATCAGAATCCAGCCACTAACAACCAGTAAACAGCCAATGCTCATTGGCACTCGGGGTCTTGTGCAGGAGCGTGCGGATACCCTATTAGCCAAGGTGGGGAAATACCCCTGCCAGGCCCTGCCCTGCCCTGGGGGATTTCAACACAGCTAGTGACAAAGCTGCGGGGGCCCCTGCCCCGTGAGCCGTCCCGGCCCCCTCCTTTCCATACCCCGAGCTGGCTGCGTGAGTTGCAGCCGGTCCGATTTCGAGCTGTGCCCAGGGACCATCTGTACATGATTGTTTCACATACTTC